GAAACCTGACTGTAAAATTTTAGAAATTTTCGACACAAAAGCATATACGTTATAATATTATACCTCAAACAGGGTGAATAAAATCTTTTTCCACATACACTAATATTCATACATACAGAAATTACCCCCGATTCTATTGCATTTCTGGGTATACTAAACCCAAAAATGTGAACATCTTAGAGTGGGTCATTTTTTTGAACAATTGTCATAGTTTCGTTGAGCCCTGTTTTGAGATCTCGCTACCTCAGTAATTTGCAATCCCTTCTTAATTATTTCCTCGTATAAAATCAACATCAGTTCTTTCAGTTTATAACATTTCAAATACACTCTGTAAGACTTATTCTTTACTTAACCATTCGGCTACTGATCGGCGCACTAAAATAATGTATAAAAACCCATCCCAATTACTCTGTCAGTGATATTGCGTGCCTATTCGTCTCATTATTGGTATCATTGTTTGATCATAAGTTTGAAATGACCCACAACTCGAGTGATCCAGTGGGGAAGAAGAGGGACTTACATATCAGGATTAAAACGCCCATGAACAAAACTCTAGCATCCTTGATCAAATTCGATCCGTATATTTAGTAGAATGGGTGATTGATACTCTTACTGCCTTCGCTAACCTGTTATAATTAACACAAAATATAGGCCTACAAATTGATTTCGACGGATTATCAACGAAAACTGAAATATCCTGTACTTTTAATTGTCGCCACAATATAAGTTTTGTTAGGAATTTCCTGACTTAAATTTATATTAAAACATCTTTTTTCTGTTAGAAAATCGTAAAGAGCAAGTCAGAAATAAAAAAAAAACATTGTAAGGAATTTGCATAAATTCAAAATTTTAAAAAATATTTCATTCAATAAACCAGTAAAGGGAAACACACATTCGTTCAGTTATTATAAAATAATAATTTTCCAAATAAGTGATAAGGAGATTTATTCGAAATGCTTTTCAATAACAATTTTCATAACTTAAATTATTCTATTACATATAAACATGTGAATTGGCGATTATAACTTAATTAATTGTATTAATTATAGATGCTGAATTTAAGTAGTTTGCCAATCAAAAATGTGAACAGATATGCTTTATGTTATAATATAATCGACATGGGTTGATAATAATAAGCGCAGAGCCCAAACGGCTAGGACTTGACAGTTGAAATTTAACAAACATTTGGAGAAAGCCATGAGAATGTATACTAAGAAAGAATTTTTGAAAATACCCCTGCAGGATAAAAAAAAGTGTTAAGGATTACAAGAAGTGTTGGGGAACAGGAAAAAGTCTCTTTGTGTCAGATCAGGTGAGTAGGGAGAAGCACAGCGGTCTTGTTTTTGGCCAAAAACTCACGAGTTCTGAGGGACAAATGAGCCAGCGCGTTGTCGTGATGAAAAAAACCACGCGCCGCTCCTCGAAAGTTCAAGCCGTTTTCGCCTGATTCTGTCTTTTAGGCGTTTCATAACACCAAGTAGTACTCCTTGTTGACTGTCTGGCCTGTAGATAGGTGTTCGTGATGCACAACCCCCTTTGCATCGAAAAAAAACAGTCAACATCAACTTAACATTTGAGCGAACTGTCGAGCTTTTTTGGAGCAGGGGGCTGTTTCACCCACCTGTAGGAAGTTAACGTGAAGGATTTTCAGAGTTTCACACAGAATTTCACAGAACAACGCTGCTCTTTCAAAGAGCTGATTTCCGCAAATCCGATTTTTCGCCGAACCCCACAAACCCCTTCACATAAACGGCCGTAACTAATCACCAAAACAAGATATCAACAAACGGGTTGAAAGAGGTTACTCGGGAGGTTTCCGCGGACACAATGCCTCCAAGCGAATTAAAAAATAACCAACTGGAGGCGCGCTAAAGTTCGGGAACTTTTTGAATAACCCACGTACATTTTCTTTAGATTTTAGAATTCACTATAACCATATAAAAAGCAATACTCTATATTTTTGTTTATTTGTTTATTATATGGAGTTGTCCATCAGAAAAGTAAACTATCTTATTTACAAATCTTTTCAAAATAGACAGTTCGACCGGGCCCTTCTAAAAACCGGGCTCTAGACATTTGTCTCATTTGTCTATGCGATGATCCGGCCCTGAACTTAGCCGCTTCAAATAACTGGTTTATCTACAAACATCTTGGTGGTCTATCTAGCAAAGGCAACAGGGACCTCCTAACCCACATAATATCCTACGATCACACCCTTCGCAATACCAACCAACATCTGAATATCGTAACCATGGATATTTGCCATGACTATGACTTTGTCTATCACCGTCTTCTTCAAAAAGCCATTCAGAAAGGGCTCAAAGGTAACTCCTTTGGCTTCAGGATTTCCTCACCAATACTGTGAAATAGATATACTTATTATTAATTAATACTGTGAAATAGAGAGGTCTCACGTCCACCGAGCACGTCCTTTCTAAAGATATCTTGCAAGATATTGTCATCTCTCCCTTCATCTTCGCGATTTTCATGCATGATGTTTTTCCCTTGAAAATACACACACACACACATCAACGTTTACGCCAACAATATCACTGCGATTATCCACGCCAACACTCCTAACGATCTGCTGTATCACACAAATCACTTCCTTAACTCATTTGCTGTTTGGACTGACCGCAACGAAATCGCTTACCAACTTCAGAAATGCGCCATTCTCACATCCCCTACAATTCGCTATATAACCAGAACCTCACAATTTAAATATTCATGGTCAATCCCTCCCCGTCGTCTGCCGTATTAAACTGCTCGGCAACCACATCACCAAAACGTTAACTTGGACCCCCCCATATTCAATATCTCCGAAACAAGTGTAATCGTCTTGACATCTTCAAAATCTTCTTCAATAAAAACACGGCGGTATCTCTAAAGATCTCCGGATGATAGCCGATAGCATCATCGGTAGTATTATAACCTACAAAATTCCTAGCATTGCAACCCTCACTTCCACCCATACTAAGGCCCTTGACTCCATCCAAATTCTATATCTTAAATTATATCTAGGTCTCCCTTTCACTACCAACAACATTGTTACCCTTCGTGCTGCTAAAAGAACTATGATCGCGCTCTGCTTCCAAAAAACCATCATCAAACAGTACATCAATTACCTGAAAAAGGCGAAGAACAACCGTCTCTTCCTCGAGATTTTACGTCATATTTACTACGCCGCTGGAGCCGCTTTGGTTAAAGTCCCGCGTGTTCATTTCACCCATAGCTGGAACATTCATCACAATATCTCTATCTTTCCTGACAATCTCTCTCCTCACAATGTCCTCCTTCACTCACACCATCACATCTCTGTCGAAGATTACGATTTTCAGCGTTCGAACAGCCCTGGCGACAGCATCCGTCAATATTACAATATCTGACGTAGCCACTACCCTGCTCGCACTTTCATTGCCACCGATGGCTCTAAAAAACTTCATACTGTCTCTGCCGCGTATATCGACGATACCCACAATGGTTCATTATACTTTTCACCCTGACTCCTCCATCTTTACCGTTGAGGTCTACGCCATCTTGCAGGCTATCACTTATGCTACAGCCATCCGCATCAGTGCTGTTCTCTACACTAATTCCAAATCCATTCTGTCTGCCTTAAATAACTACAACGTCAACTCACCTGCTATCATCCGCAGCATCCATCACCTCCTACGCATCCACTACAGCCATGATGAACACATACATTTCGTTTGGACCCCTGCCCACCTAAGCATCGACATTAACGAAAAAGTTGACGCCCTCGCCAAAAGTAATCCGTTTAACTCTGTTATCGCCAATTACATAACTCCCGAAGATCTCCTTGCAGCCATAAACTCCGGCCATCACCACAACACAGAAGACTCCTGGAATCACTACCCAAACCGCACTAACTACCCTTAGCTGTACGACAATCCACATACCAGCTTACTCACCATCACTAATCGTTACATAAACGTTTTAGTAAACCGTGCCAGGACCAACTCACTAATTACTTCCTTTACACCCGGAAAATCAAAAGTACCGATGAATGCAGTCATTGCCCCGATCAGATCGACACAAGCTGTTCGGTAAACGATTACCCACTTAACACACAAAACAATACAAATATTTCCGACTACCTTAATCTCTCTCCCATCTCCACCCATCAGGAGGTCCTGACTATTTACTTCAAGGAGTACACTAAAGTGTACCGCTAATATAGGTCGCCATCACTGCTCTCCTCTATAAACATCTACGGGACGCAAAAGGCTAGTAGCCAGTGTCCAACCCCCCCTCTGAAGGAAGGAGTGCACGAAATGCATGATATTTTACTCCGAAAGTCTAATAAAAAATCAAGTTATGTAAATATTTTGCATTCTACATATAGTATAACTTTTCCTCCTAGATTGTTCGTGTTTCTGATAGTACAGTAGATAAAACTTCACGTATAAAGAAAGAAAAAGGAGCAAAAATAAGAAAAGAACAAAAGTTTTTTATAAAAATAAATAAAATTAGAAGCTTTTCACACGTAAAAATCTTTAAATATAAATAATATAATAAGAAAGATTCAAATAAAATTTATATGAAAATCACGATCCACGCTTAAACATTTCATTGTGATAGAACAATTTCAATAGTGATTTTTGCGTGAGGAAAGTAAATTCTAACGACATACATTTATCCACTTATTTATAAATAATACAACAGACGAAGGCAAGCATAATTATATTTAACTTATTTTCCAAACTTAAACAATATTTATGTAAATATTTATATTAAGTTTTCAGAACGATAACTAAATAATCGTGAAGGATGATACCATGCTGGAAAGTTTAATAATACTTTCATTTAAAATATAACACGAAATACAGTTTATTCCATTGAATGACATTAATGAAACGAAGTACAAAATCGTAGTAACATTTTGATAATATTCAAATATGAAAAATTAACACGTTACTTTTTTAAAAATTATCAAAACATTTAGGAGAATTACAAGTTGTAATCACGATAATAGGCCATCAATTATCTTTTCGCTGCTGCAGTGTTGACTTATGTCTTTTATTAAAGTATGTATTTGTAAATAGACAAAGAAACAATACAGCATGAGTAGTATATACCAACATTGAAAAAATAATCAGCTGATAATTTTGTTCACAGTATTTTCCTGTAAAATACTGATTTGCAGCCCATATAGTAACAAAACAAGCGATGATCATTTGAAGAATTTGACTTATTGTAATTATAATTGCAATAGAACGAGGCACCTTTACTTTTATTGCTTTTGCAGCAAAATATAAATACATGAAGCTATGAACCAACAAATTCATTGCGACATACCAATAACCAGTAGAAAGTTTGCCCGAAACATTGTATGTTGTTATAACCAAAGTTAAACTATGATGGTACCAATGCAAGAATATTAATTTCTGTTTCCTAAAGACAATAAATAATGTATCGCCGAATTCAATGATTTTTGAACATGCAAATATACAAACCCAGAATTCAATGGGGTGATGTTTTAAAGCAAAACTGACATTACATACAGAAAATGTAAATCCAAAATCACGAATAATGATCCACAATCCAGGAAGTACTCTTATTGTTCCACAAATACTAAATAATGCCAATAAAGTATTCCAGAAGAAAAGTGGTCCACGGAGCTGATACGGTTGCTTGGACTTCATATAATGTTGCAGAGTGAAGATGACAATAATGTAAATAGCTGATATATGTATGACATATGGTGAAAAGCATTCAATCAATTCAAAATTTATATATTTTGATAGATATTGTTCAACATAAAGCGGTTCGAATTGTCCTTTATACTTGGAAACTTCGATTTTATTATCCATCATCTAAAAAACAAAATTTATGTTAATAATATTGTATATACAACACGTAATACTGAGCATACGTAATAATGAATTTCTTTGAGTATTGTGATGTAATATTGTTTATTTGAAAATTTGAAAATTTTTTTATACCTTTTAATATTATTTTACCAACAAGTTTAGAAAATACATTAATTAGGCAATTGAATTTTATCATTATAGAAGCAGAGAAAAAATAGATTTATTAACTGATATCTTGATATATAAATTTTCTTGCAGTTGTCCACCATTTTTTATTATTAGGGCTAAACAGGACGACAATTGATAACGAGCAATTATTTAATGTGACATCGTCACGATTCCGGGATGGAATTTTTAATCGTATTTTTCATTTATTGATATAAAATACATACACTGTAGCTTAAATCAGTAATGGCTTGTCCTATACATCATACTTTTCCTTTAACAATTTAGACGTGCCGATCTAACACCTTTCAACGAAAAATTTTTGAATTGAAATAATATAACTTCCGATAAACACGTATTTATGTAGTAAATTGAGGTATTCTAATTTTTTCACATTTCCTCTTGGCTTTTACCTGCCTTTTTCCCTTTTCGATACTAAAGAAAGACAGACGGACAGACAGGCGAGAGTGAGAATTTGTAGGTCTATTTCTACTATTAAATATAATTATTCTAACTGGGCTGTCGCAGACAATTGTGTTAATTCATGTTGCCACATCTTACTTAACAGTGTTCAAATTTAATTGAAGGAAAAAAAGTTATTTAAAAAAGATTATGTGAAAATTTAAAAATTATAAAGCTTTAAAAAATTATACAATTATACTAAACGGAGGTTTAGTTTTAAGTGATATCTGGCAACAAGCGTTAACCCAATTCTGGAAGAATTCATATAAGTTGTAAGGTAATTAAAAACCATTATATAACAAAGCCAATATGTGAAAGTGTCTTTTCTTATTTGTTGAAAACTGCAGATAAAAAGTAACACTTTTAACCTAAAGCTTTACTATTTTATTCTTTTAACCAATTTTATTAATAGAAAACTTTTTTATTTAAATTTTTTTTAAACTTACGTGTTAAAATATTTCTTAAATAAGCTAATTTTAGTATTATATTTGATTAAATATTTGTATTTTCTTCATTATTTTTTTACCAAATTTTAAAGAACTTTCATTCTTTTATTTATTAATTTTTAATTTAATTATCATTATAATTACTACTACTATTTACTTTTTACCCCTTTTTACATTATCGATAATTTAATTTAATTTAATTAATTTATTTTTTTAACTTTAAAAGATTTGTATTTTCAAATAACTCCACTTTTTTACAATATAATAACAGTAATTATTATTATTTTTAACAATTCTTATTATTACTACAGTATTATTATTAATTTCATTTCATTATAAAATCTTATATTTTATATTTATTTTATTAACACTGCATATGATTTTACAATTATAGTCATTTTTACATTATTTTAAACATTAAAAAGATTTTTCTTTTAATTTTACTCGGAGCCAACATACTTTTTCTATTGTCTGCAACTGAAAAGGGTACTGGACCTTAAATATATCATGCAGAATGACTTTCACTAAGATTTGATTTGACCACATAAATAACGTGCATTTCTGTATGATAAGTCTTTGAATTATCATGTACTATATGACATAAAAACACAAAGTAAATTATATTTAATATTTAGAAAATATACCCCTCTAATTAGTTAAGGAAGATGATTATGTAGCAATAACTTTTGAATCGAACGTTAATTTTATTAACACTGCATATGATTTTACAATTATAGTCATTTTTACATTATTTTAAACATTAAAAAGATTTTTCTTTTAATTTTACTCGGAGCCAACATACTTTTTCTATTGTCTGCAACTGAAAAGGGTACTGGACCTTAAATATATCATGCAGAATGACTTTCACTAAGATTTGATTTGTCCACGTAAATAACGTGCATTTCTGTATGATAAGTCTTTGAATTATCATGTACTATATGACATAAAAACACAAAGTAAATTATATTTAATATTTAGAAAATATACCCCTCTAATTAGTTAAGGAAGATGATTATTTAGCAATAACTTTTGAATCGAACGTTAGTGTAAATCACACGTTTCCAAAGTGAAAGCAACACCTTGTTTTACAATAAAAACCTGTGTAAACCAGAATATCACGTACAGAATATTATACTTTTTGGCGTATCTTTCTTTTTTTAGGTGCGACTCCAACGTCAACGTACCAAACCTCATAATATAGCCTCATATAATAATATGAGGCTAATGCTTAATATAGACTAATCAAACTTTACTCAAACTTAAAATACATTCAGGAATTTGTAAAGAAATAACTAAACGTGTGAAAATGTTTATAATTGAGTAATAGTTGAGTTATATAGATTAGGAATTATAATTTTTAGTTTAAACTTAAAAATATAAAAAAATCTTTTATTATCGTTATTACAATAAGGGTAGGTTTTTACCCTTTACGGATTAGGAATTATACGAATCTAAAAGCACTGATTAGAGAATGGAAATATATAAGAAATTTCGAATTATTTGGTGCTAAGAAAAATAAAGTATTATATAATAATTAAAATGCGAATAAATATTAAACAATGTTACCTGAAAGATTGATTATCGAAGGAGAAGTAAAAGATCTGACTGATTTTTCCTGTAATTTTCCTACTTTCTGAGAGGAAAAACAATTAAACAGGATTTCTTTTTAACTGATTTATTTCATAATTGGTATTTTATTTAGGAATTAAAAATTTCATAATCGGAGGAGTTTTTCCTTTTCGCTTTTAATATAAAGTAGTATGAATATTATTTATATTTTATATAAGGATTTTTTTAGGATTTTCTAATGGAATTCTCATATTAAACAATGTCCAAATTAATAATAATAATAATAATAATGATATATAGGAGTTTTTATGGGAAATGCAATATTTAGGCATATATCATTTTATATTTAATAAATTAAATATAACCCGCACTTAAGCTCTACGTATCTGGTCTGTATTTTCTCTTATCTAACAATATACAGTATTTCAAATTGACATACAAAACGTACAGACAATAAATAATAGTTTTAAAATACAAGACAAATATGCCTGCACTTCAAACTGTTTGCAATAGATTTCTTTCAAGTAATGTATAAAGTAAACCAAAAGTAAGCTACTTGTTTTATATCCAGAGATGAAGTGAATAAGGTTATGAAGTAATTGCAAATGTTTTAATTCATCCCTAACAGTATCTAAGTGTTATTCACTGTTTAAAAGTTCGAATTATTCGAAATTTATAATTTATTATCTGCATTATTATAGCTACGTATCTGTTTTGTTTGTGATATTTCACGTTCACACTATTAAATATAGAACATTTAATGCCTGAATGTTGTATTTATCGTAAAAGTTCCCAGGTAATAACATATTGATTTCTTAAAGTTTAACCATTCGTTAATATCAATTTTCATTTGAAAAACCTAATTTAAATAGTACTTAAACTTCGTTACATTTATTTATTGTAAAATTTTTAATTCCTAATAAAATATTAATTATGAAATTTGATAGAAAATCTGATTACATTATAAAACTTTTTTTTAACGAGCAGGAAAACTAAAGAACCAAATAAATTATTCTATTTTATTTTGCAATAGTTAGTTCATAATCAGCATAACAAGTATTATTTAGATTTTATGTAAAATTTAATACTCAAATAATACTTTTTAAGTCGTATACGGCAACTCAACACGTATACGATCTGAAAGGGGAGATATTTTACAAGAGGTACTTGATAGCAAATTGATATATATAACAAAATACGTTAGATGTAATGATGCTTATCTTCATCTACTGTATTATATATAAATAGAACAATAAATAAATGTCATTGAGAATTTGTTTCCTCAACCAAAAATCTTTATTTAAATTGTTCTTTCACAATAAATCCCTAAAGCATAAATCGTGACTGTCATATAAATTTTATCGAAATTTTTTATTTTAATAATTCATGTTTAAGGATTTTAACGTGTAAAACTTTTTATAACTTTATCTTACTTACAAATTTAATATTTTATACCTTTGTTATCTTCTTATTTAAATTCTTCTTTTTTTCTTAATCAGAATTTACAATTAACAACAACAAAATAAATTTATTCATAGACTAACTCTCTCAATATGAATATCATTAATGTTTCTATTATATAATTGTAAAATATTGAGGTAATTTACTTAACGTAACTTGAAAAAAGTGAATTATTCTATTAGAAAAATAAGAAACATATTTATATTTGTAAAAATACTCTTAGAACCAGTAAAATCGTCGTGAAGTCCGACCTTACTAGAGATACACACGACCTTCATTGTCTCCTCAGGCATTTGACCTTTAACCACCGAAATCAAATAGCATCAATCCTTCGAATAATCAAATTTTTCTGAAAAATTTCAAAAATTTCGACATAAAGAACAGAAGTTATTATGCTTGAAAGTGGGTAAACAAAATAAACTTCACACACTCTAACATCTATAGATATTAACTACTGTTACGAACAAAAACAACTTTAGGGAGGATATTATTACAATATTTTTATTATATTTTAAAACATTTCCATATTTTCTGACAAAATCAAATGTTTATCATATATTTAATATCAGTAAACACTTCTCATAGAAACTCTTCCCGGAAGGCTTTCTTTTTGTCGAACGTCCCGTGTGTCGCGTTGTCATATTCTTTCGAACCGATATTTTAATTTAAAAACAATTATAAAATAAGATATTACATCTAATGCTATTCTGAATAAGAGTTTCTTTATTTAATAGAAAACACAATTGACAATACTTAGACGATTTACTATAATACCGTATACAATCACGTGTTTACCCTTATCAGTTGACTGCTTTATGTTACAACACCGGTGAGTTAGATAATATAGTACTTTCTGCAGGTACTAGATTAAAATTCTTGCATATATAAAGTATTATATTT